GTGATCTCAGACAGCTTTCATCTCCAGCCCTGAGCCTGCTTGTCTATAAAATGAAGGAATCCAAAGGGATGATCTCTAAGGCTTGCCTCTGGAAATTTAGAACTAAAAATTCAGAAGGACTCCAGTCAGAAGGCAAAGGATCACGGTAGCCGGGCAGCATCCCCCTCCCCCCACCCCGCCCCAGGCTCCAGACAATACCAGGGGCGCCCCAGGGAAGGGTCGCAGAAAGCTGGAAGTGGGACAGAAACCAGGACATTTGTATAGGTGGTTAAGTGAGAGCCGGCCCCTGGGAAGGAAGTAGGAGTGAGGGACCGGGGAGAGGAAAAACCCAGCTAGGTCAGTGTGTCCAGATCACCTCTGTCTCGAAGGGACATGACGTCACTGGGACTTGCTGAGAAGCCGCAGAACCCCTCCCAGAGCTGTCAGCCAGAAGTACAGGCCCAGTGAGCTTTCTCCACCAGCTCCCACCCCCGCTGGTGGGCTTTCACCCGCAGAACTGTCCCCTATACTACATACAGGGCTGTGCCTACCCAGACCGAGGAGGCTTCTTGGTAGAGAAGTTCTGGGGCAGATAAGACAAGAATCCTTGAGGCAAGAGTGGGGAGACAGGTCCAGCTCGGGGACACCTGTCCCCCGCAACAGCACCTGAAGTCAAGGTGGGACCTGGGGCACCGGGACATATGATATAAGTCACAGAGGGACAGGAGCGCCACCCACCATTCATATTCATGCGTTGTGGTGTTGGGGCTCTTGTCCCCTACCCCCACCCATCCTGGGCCCTCTGAGTGTTGGGGCCCCACCCTCTTATCTGTGGAGTTCTTGGTGTCTGGAGCCATTGAAAGTGGGGATTCGGGGTGGGGGATTGTCTGTACACCTGGGCGATTCACACGGGGCTCAGCAGATCTTTGGACGAGGGCCCTCCAGGCGGCTGGGTCTATGATGCAGCGCCCAACCCCATGGTGAGGAATGGGTGCACTCGTGCCTCTTCTCCCCTGGTCATGAGTGATGCTCCCCCAAAGGCTAACAAAGGGTCTGCCTACAGGCTTGGGGCTTGCCAGGCCTGCTAGTGGCAGTGCTCCTAGTCAGGAACCCTTGTGCTGCCTCCCTGGTGCCATGATGCCTCCATCTGCTCTTCCGTTGTAAACTCTGGACCTGGCTTCCTTCAGCCTTAACTTTGGATTCCCCAAAAGTCTGATTTGTTAATAAAAAAAGGAACAGTGGCTGTTTCTAGCCTTTTTCCTCTGCTACCACAATTCTACTTTGTCCCTAGGCAATGTGAATGGGAGACTAAAGGGGAAAAAATGTCTTTTATGAGAAGGTGGAAAAGAACACAAAGATTTAAGCTCCAAGATATTATCTGAATTCTTCCTCTGGATGAGCCTTTTTAACCCCCAAATAAATGTCACCCTCCTTATGGAGAGGAAAGGATTTTCATTTCTCTAACTGTACCCCATCCCCAACCCCGGGTTTCCTGGTGCTGTATATAACAAAGAATTTGGGTGACTTATGTCCCTGGCTCATGGGAGGTAAACCCTAAATTTGGGGAATTTCCCAAGTAATAGGAGTGTCTTCTTCATTCACGGGGGGTCGTTCAGACCGTGACTGAGTTCATGCTAGTCAGATGACTCAGGACGGGGACAGGCCAGGCCAGAAGACCCAACCGTGTGATTAGAGGGTTGGGGTTTTGAGACTGGTGATGTCAGCCTGACCCCTGGGAAGGGTAGAGAGGCTGGATATTAAGTTGAATCACATGACCAGTGATTCCATCAATAATGTTTACATCGTGAAAGCCTAGGAATAACTCTGGACAGAGGCTCAGGTGAGCTCTTCCTAGCTCATGTGACACATCATTGGTCGGGGTGGGGGGGTGTATCCTAAGAACACAGAAACTTCACATTTGAGACTCCTTCAGACACACTAAGACATGTCTCTTCATTTGGCTGGTCCTGATTTGTGCCCTTTCTAATAAAACTGTAGTCATCAGGACAGTGCTTCCCTGAGTTCTGTGAGTTATTCTAGTGAATTACGAAATTTGAGGGGATAATGGCTGTTTGGTCAGAAGTACAGGGGGCCTGGGAACCCCAGAACTTATGGCTGGCTCTGAAGTGAGGGGAGACTTGTGGCTGATGGTGTCTTTAGCCTGTGAAGTCTGCACTAGTTCCAGACAATCTGACCTGTGTTGCCCTTAGGTGTATCTATCTGCCTGCTTCCTTCCTTACCACGGCCTGGGGATCCGTACTCATCAGTCAGGAGGCTCAGTCTCCTCCAAATAGATGCTCATTTCTACCTTCACCCCAGAAAGCAGACACAGAGGTGGGAGAAGTGCCCTGGAGTTGGGTCTGGGTAGGACGGGCACAGCCCTGGGGAAAGTGATGTGTGCCAAGTCCTTGGATCCATGCGTGTTCCATGCATTTTTGCTGGAGTCCCACAAGGCATGACCTGGCCTTCTGGGCAATGTGCTGACGTGTACTATGGGAGCTGAGTCATCCCACTTGTCCCTGGAAAAGCCCCTTAGTTGGCTCTTCATCCTGGCCAGGCCTTTGCCGGAGATTTCCACCTCTCCAGTCCTCTCCCTGGGGCACATGAGAGTTTCTGGGTCCCCTGCATGCCCGGGGGCGCCAGGAGTCTTACCTTGGTCATGCCTCCCCGGCCACCTTTGTCCTGCCCTCTGCACGGGCTGAGCATCAGGCAGACTTCTAGATGTATCAGGTTCCCTCCCCACAACCCGCCCCCACCCAGCCCCACCTGCCACGATCAATGAGCTCAGGGAAGCATGACTCAAGTGCCTGAGACTCTCAGCTCCCGGGGACATTTCTAAGCACCCCTGCACCCTCATTCTGGAGCAGTGAGCTCACGACGGTCTAACTTCCTCCCTACCTTCTTCATCCTCTTTGTCCTCAAGACCGCAAGGGCAAACCCATCCTTTTCCTCTGCCTGCTGAGGATGCCTCTACAGAGTGTAGGATCTACCCTCCCAGACCTGCCTCCTGCCACAACAAATGAATTTAGAAAATCTTTCCTCCAGACAAAGGGTGGCTTTCCAGTCTGCTTAGTTGCCAGGAACTCAAACAAAAATCTAGTTGATGTTCAAAGCCAGGCAGTGACTTGCTCCAGCAAGATCTCCCCTTGCCCCCGGGTGACCCCCTGGGGTAGAAGACTCATAGGCTGAGGAAATAGACCTGAAATTATTTCAAAATATAATCTCATTTACATGCGCCTCGAATAATATTTACGGTGGGCCTGCTACACTCCGGTCACTAGGTTAGGACATAAACACTCCTTAGAAATTGCTTTTAATAACTGCTTTATTAAGATATCACTGACATGCCCTACAGTTCTGTCTTAAAAGGGAACAGCTCAATATTTCTTACTATAGTCACAGAGTTGTACAAACATCACCACCCCCCAATTCTAGAATGTTTCTATCACCCCAAAAAGAAATACCGAACTCATTAGCAGTAAATCGTCTCCTGCCTCCAGTCTCCCCTCCGCCGGCTCCTGGAAATCACTAATCTACTTTCTGTATCTATGGATTCGTCTATTCTGGACATTTCATGTAAATGGAATCATACAATGTGTGCCTCTGGTGACTGGCTTCCCTCATTTAGGAGAATGTTGTTAAGCTTCCGTATTGTATCAATACTTCATTTATTTTTATTGTCAGTTAATGCTCTGCTGTAGGGATACGCCGCGTTTTATCTATACATTCATCAGCGGACGAACATTTGGGCTGTCTCCCCTTTTTGGCTGTTATGAAGAAAGCGAGCATGAACGTTCTTGCACAAATCTTTATGCGGACAAATGTTTTTATTTCTCTTGGGTACATAGCCTGGAGCTGGGTCACGTGGTAACTCTGCCTAACAGTTTGAGAGTGTGTCAAATTCTTTCCCACAGTGGCTGTGCCATCACCATTTACCGCTCCCACCAGCAGTATGTGAGGGTTCCAGTTTCTCCACATCCTCCCCGACACTTCATGGCTTCCGGTTTCGGCCATCTTGGTGGGCGGGCTGTGGTGTCTCACAGTGGTTCTGATTTCCATCTCCCTGATGGCTAAGGACAGCGAGCATCTTCTCATGCATTCACTGGCCATTTGCATACCTTCTTTAGAGAAAGAGCTATTAGGATCCTTTGCCCATTTTTTCAGTTGGGTATTTGTCTTTTTGTTGTTGAGTTGAGTTGTAAGAGTTCTTTATACATTCTGAATACAGGTTCATTTCCAGCCCCTTTTGGATTTGAAGAGAAATCTAAATCAAGGTTAGACCCAGAGTTGCTGTTTTAATAAATGAGTGCTGTGAAATGTGTAAGCCTGATGATTCACAGACCTGTACTCCTGGGGCAAATAATACATTATATGTTAATAAAAATAATTAAAAAGAAAAAGAGGGACACCTGGGTGGCTCAGTGGGTTAAAGCCTCTGCCTTCAGCTCAGGTCATGATTCCAGGGTCCTGGAGTTTTCCTCTGTTCCTGCAGGAACCCTGGCCGGCGGGGTGGAACGCCCTTTTCTATGCTCTTTTGGTCACCTCTTGAGGTCGGAGTCTAGGCTTATTCATCACTGTGTCCCCACACCTGGCCCAGTGTTTGGAATGTGGTTCTAGGAGCTAACATTACCGAACACCTATAATGTGCCAACACTGCTGCTTGTATTATTCAAATAATCCTCACGGCAATCTCACGAGTCTCACCTTCATTTCACAGATGAGGAAATGAAGATGCAGGGAGGTTGAGTAACTTGCCCAAGGTCACATGTCAGCACGCGGCCAATCTGGGATTTGAACCCAGCCCGTGTGACTCTTCAGCCAATATTATGACTCGCAATCCCACTATTGGGTTGTCTTTCTGGTTGTCCTTTTTGTGTAGGAGAGTGGCATCTGTTGCCTTGAGAACCCAGAGAATCTGTCCCTTTGCCCTCTCAGAGGCTCAAGTAGATGGGCAGAAGGTGGAATGTGGGCTACCATGGCAACTGGGTCACTGGTCACCTCCCCTGCTGAACCCTTGGGCAGAGAGAAGCGTGGGGTTGGCATGGGGCAATGTTTGAGGCATCAGATGCACTGGGAGGACTTGGAAGAATACCAGGTGGGTAGATGAGGCGGAATGTTCTGGGCAGAGGTGAGGGGAGCCCCCAGAGACAGGTGGGATGAGTGGGAAATGCTTGCCTGTGGCTGGAGTGTTTCCCAGGCAGCATAGCAGGCACTATCGCCTTTGCTAAACCCACATCCACCTGAGGCTGACCTGTCCTCCGAGACCTCCTCCTGCGTTTGTCTCCCGCTGCTCCAAAGCCCAGGGTTGTAGTCTCGACTTCACCCCTCTCTCCAGGTCTGTGCCGGCATGGTCCTTCCCAAGGCGGTCAGAGCCTGGGGTTTGCTGCTCTGCCACCGCTGGAGGCCTGAGGGTTGGGGTACTTCCGTTTTGCCAGGTCTAGGATAAGAGCAGGGGCTTCTCCTCCCCAGGTCCCTGAAATTACCCCCTCCCCAGGGGGCCAGGGCCAGAACGGAGGGAGGAGGCAGGTCACCTCTCTCTGTGGTTTGTTGTAGGCCCTGACCTTCCTGACCAGAAATGAGATCCTGTGGTGAGTCGAGGGGCCCCCTTTCCCCTACCTTGAGCTGCGCGCTTGTCCTGGTAGGGTCACATGCTGGTCCCTGAGTGTGGCCCCTCCAGGCACTGTGGGGCCCTGGAGACGAGACCGGCAGGCAGAGACAGACTCCAGCCCGGAGACCCCAACACCAGGATGCCAGGGCCCCAGTGGGGCTGAGGGAAGCCTCAGGCGTTAAGCCACTAGGCGCTTCAAGGCAGGATTTCTTCACAGAATTGCAGAAGTGAACGAGGCCTCTTGGCGGGGAGGGAGAAAGGATTTAGGAAACAGGTAGACAGGGATGGGCTCTAAGCCCTGACTCCCGCTCCAAACCTCTCTTCAGAGCCTGCCATGTGTCAGACACAGTGAGGGCCACGGGAGCGTAACAGGGAGCAGCCCGCGGTGCCCATGGTCATGCAGGTGACCGTCCAGCAGGGAAGGCTCCAGACAGAAGACAAGCATCAGGCAGAGTGAGGGCGGCCGATGCCCTCCTCAACGGGGCCACTGAGGTGTGAACGGCACCGTGTGTGGGTGCTCCGTCCAGGTCCAGGGCGGGGGACTGAAAAAGTCTTACGGGATTTCTTCTCTAGCCCTGCAGCCGCTCGGCACCCCTTCCCTGGCCCGGCACAAGACAGGCGCTCTGCTGGGTGGAGCTGAGTGGACAGGCTCTCTCCTCAGGACCACTAGGCCCCATGACAGGCAGGGATGAGCCCCCGGCCGGCTTCGGCGAGCTTCACTTGTCGGGTATGAACTGGAAGCTGAGGGATGCTGGCTGTTTGAAGAGAGCATTTAAAACTCTGCATTAGATCATGTCATCATAACACTTCAGAACACCCGAGATCATGAGGAGAGGCGAAGAGCTTCCACAGAGAAAACAAAAACAAAACAAAAGACACACACAGGGAAAAACTCCAATCCAGAGTGAAGTCCTAGTTAAACGAGTAATCAAGAGCGAATGTGAAGTAACGATTTTTTTTGACATGCAAATTATCTTTAAAAATGACCTCTTAGGCATCTTGTCTGAGAAACTTCTGGAGGGCGTGCTCCATTAGCACGAGTAGGTAAATGGTGTTATTTTGGAAAGAGATACTGGTGTATCTAGGACACTTCTGTTTTTGTACAACAAAAGGTTCTACATGTACACACACACACACACACACACACACTACACGAAGAGAGTATGTGTGGAAGGACACACACGCACGCCGATCACTGGTTAGCTTCCTGCAGGGGCCTGGGGTTCTGCCCACGTCGGCTTTAGCGTGGCTGTGTTGTTGGCAAGGTGAGGGGCGGCGTTGACGCACACCCGGGGACAACCTCAGGGGCTGAGGGAGCTGATGGCACTTGGTGCTTAAGGGAGACAGTGGCCCAGGGGAGCCGAGACTAAACCCCAGTCACTTTTGGACAATTGTCCTATGTGGCCTCCAAAGACACGTGGGGATTTTCCTATTAGTGTGACAAAGACATACAGCCTGGATGACGGTGCCATTGGAGAGGTCGGTCCAGCTGAAAAAAGCATCCAAGAGACTGATAGACACGAGTAGCCTCTGGACAAGGGTGCCTCTGCCCTCTTCCAATACTTTCCCACATTTTATTTTATTTTTTTTTTTGCTTTTCCACCTTCTTATCTGTGCCGTGCAGAGGACACAAAGGCCTGAAGGCCTAGTCACCAGATCTGTCGATGACGCACAGCGGGAGGTCAGACCACATGTGACACTCTGGTCTCGGGGCCAGCCCCTTCGCAGTCTGGGGCTGCCTTGGCCGGGTTTTCCGAGAAGGGGTCTGTCCACCCTCAATGTCTAGCCGGTGGGGATTTTCTGTCACAGCTTCTCCCTGTCACAGGAGTTCTAAGTCAGCCCTCCCTGACGTGTGATCGGATTGCTCTCCGAGAAGGCCCTGACTTCCAGATGTCTCTTTGGGCTCAGCGCACAGGCGGTTCGGGTCCTTATCTTCAGCCGTGGCCACAGGCTCCACGTCTGAGGCCCGACCCCTGGAGGGCACTTGTGGCTTCCTTTAGACCTCTGGGCTTGGAGCCCAGGTCGGCCTGATTCAGTCTGAGCCATTTGGACTTCTCGGTGTTGCTCAGGGACTGCTCCTGTCACGATTGTGGGCGGTGTGTGGGTCTGCTTGGGGAGCCTGAAGCTTTGTCCCTAGCCCCCGCATAGGCTGAAGTGGCCATAAGGACCGCTCTTTCCTCTTGGCACCCCAGAAGTCCCAACACTTCCCAGCCTCTAGGCCCTGTCCTGGCCATTAGCGTCTAGCCCTCCGGGAGCACCCATCTCTGGGTCAAGGTCAGCAGGCAGCGTGGTTACGAGCTGGCTTCCTGGAAGCCGAAGGGGTGGGTTGGAGGCTCAGCTCTGCCCCTTCTAGCTGTGTGACTATGGGTGCATTTCTTTGCTGAGCCTGTTCCCACACTTATAAAAAGCGTGACATGAAAGTACTGGAAGCTAAGGTCCCATGGTTGTTATTAGGACGATTAAACGATCAAATGCATGTCAAAGGTCAGAGCAGCCCCGGGCACAGGGGTCTGTGCTTACTAGGGGCTGGCTGTTATTTTCATGCTTTTATTATCTCCCTTTTTCTGCAAATGAGGAAATTGGCTCAGAGAAATGAAGCGGTTTGTTCAAGCCACACAGCTTGAAAGGAGCAGATCATAAAAGCCACCTTTTCAGGCTAAAGATAGGGCTATTTATGAAATGCCTGCAGTCTGTCCTGTAGAGCAAAGGACCACTGACCCCATGGCCCCCCAGAGCGGAGCCCAAAAGAGAGGAGGAGAGATGGAGCCTGGCACTGGAGCTGTGTTCTCAGTCCTGCCTGCAAGAGAGGGATGGGGAAGCTCATAGAACGTAGAGGTCCTGCCCCCATCCTGTCCTTGAATGAGAGTCTCTCGGGGTGGGTACGGGTGTTTCTAACATGGGACCCAGTTGAATATCACTAAGTAGAGCCTCAGAGGCAAGGGGGCAGAGAAGGTTATAGAAATAGCCATGGGAGGCCTGAACCAGAGGGAACAATGGGAGTCACCAAGTATCTCATTTTACAGAGTGGAAACTGAGGCACAAGAGGGAATGTGGCAGAGCTTGAGCTATGGGGCTGGTCTCCCCTGTCTTGGGCGTCGGAGCCTGCAGACAGCCCCTCCCTGTGTCTGGGAGAGAGCCACAGCCTGGGCTCCTTGATTTCTGGCAGGCTGAATGTGTGAGTTTTTCAAACGGCTTTGACTCTTGAGTCCATTAGTGATTAATTCAGAGTTCCATTTAGAGCCTGCTGATCCATATTTGGAGGAGGAGAACATTTTGTGGCAGCCGAGATGCAGCCACGATTCATCTGCGGGCAGCCCACCCACTCGGCGGCCTGGGAAGGCATGAAATCCAGGCCAGGCCCTCCCCACCGCACCCCTCCCCAGAAAGCTTTGGGGGGGCGGGGCCAGGAGACTCGCACCTGGCTGTGGGGCGGATCCTTTAGGGGTGCAGCAGCACAAACTGAAGAACTCAGTGTGGGGTTTGGCCCCCACGCTCTCTCAGGCCTTATGACCTTGGGCACAACTCTTACGCCCCCTGAGCCTCAGTTTACCCTTCTTTAGAAATGATCACCCCTGCACCCGTCCCTCAGGAATGTTGGAAAAATTGAGAAAATGTGCGTGAGTGCACCAGCACAGAGACCTGGTAAATGAGAGGAGGGGGTGGCCGTGGCCATCACCCTTTTCCCCCAGCAGAGCCTCCAACACGCCTCTTCTCTGGGCTCCGAGGAACGGAGCTTTGGTCTGCAGCTCTGGATTTAACACGTGCCACAGTGTAATCCGAAGCAAGTTATTTCTCCTCCTTGAGCCTCCGTTTCATCAGTGAAGGAGAGAGAGTGGCTCCTTCCTTGCAAGGCTCATGCAAGTTCCATGAAAAATGCCCACGAGCGCTGACGGCTCATGGCAGGCCACTCCCGGTGGGGAACCTCCAGTGGGGTCAAGGGAGCCCTCTGTTCTGGGCGCTGACCAAAACGGTGCAGGGGCTCAGAGAAGTCTTAAAAATTAGTACAGCTTACTGAAAGTCAGTCTGCTTTTTCTCTCCTCAGGCCAGCAATTCTAACGATGACAGTGATGAAACACTCCTTTTGGCTAGGGCTGGCTGCTTTGGCCACCCCATCTCACTGTCCCCTCCCCTCTTGGGCCACTGGACCCTCCAGGGATGCTGGCCTTCCTTTCCTGCTCTGTGCTCTGCAGTGCCCCCCACACTTGCCTGGAGAACGTTTCCCCTCATCTATTCTATATCCTGCTTTTCGGCTGCCTCCCGAACTCGCCAGAGCCGTCCCTGGTGATGAAGGTCCAGGGCCCCTGACAAGGCTGACAGAGCCTGTCCTTCATGAAGAGCCATGCGCCTTTCTGGCTCCTGTTTTCAGCCCTTCTCTTGGGTCAGCACAGAGTAAGAGATGGGGATTAGCTCCCTGTTGGGCAGAGTTAGGATTGGAGTCAAGGTATCTCTGGTCAGAGAGGTCAAGCAACTTGCCTCAGATCACACAGCTGGTGGGACAAGGATCATGGTCCATACGGGTACCCCTGACTGATCTGGCAGCATTCCAGCAGGAATCGGGGAACAGGCAGCATACTCAGCTGGGGGTCTTGAGCTCACGGAGTTAAGCGACTGGCCATTGCTGCCTGGAAGGCCTGAGGAGCCCAGTGGGAGCTGGAGCTGTGGAAGGTGGAGGGCTCATGCAGACACGGCCAACACCTGCCATGGCTGGAAGGGGTTGGGAGGGACGAATCCCCACCTGGCTCTGTCACCACCTCCAGTCTCCGGTGGGTGCCTCCCTTGGACCAAAGCCTACGGGAAGCGTCTGGACACCACAGGGCAACCATAGAGATGGGAGTGGGGCCTGGCCAGGAGGTGGGAAAACAGAACAGGAGCACGGACACAGTTGAAGCGCTTGTCACTCTCTCATGGCCGGGATCTAAAGGACGTTTTCCCAGTCAGTGAGCTGTGAAAGCATGAGAGGCTAGAATGGGAACAGATCATGGCTCTGAGCTCTTCTGGAGTTGGGCCTCCACGTACCATGATCAGGGCCCTGGCCGGGGACTCCCTCTCTATCTCCAAATCTCCACTTGTAAAATCACCCTCTGAATTCTTTGAGTCGCCTGTCCCTAACTTCCACCGATCAGATTCGTCTGGGTTCAGACACCAAACACGATGCCAGGGACAGTGAGGCGCTGTTAGTCACTCATCCCCAATTATGAATTAGCTTGGCCGGGGGCTTGCCTCCTGGCACTGAGCTGAGGTGAGAGGTTGGATGGTGGGGAGAAGAACAGGAAAGGAGGAGAGGGGAGAAGGTGAACTTGGAGTGTGAAGGACATGAGGGGAAGAAGAGAGGGTGGGCCCAGGGACCCAGGTCCGGTTAGAGGGCACCCCCCCACCCCTATCAAGGTCTAGGTCTGAGCTCCGAGAGTCTGGGCACTGGGTGCCTGAGCAGCAGGACAGGAACACAGACAGGGACATAGAGAGGCTCAGGGATTGGGAGAGGCAGGCACCATGCTGACGTTTCTACGCCTTGTCTTGTGTTTGTGAAGGGAGATTAGAGGCCCGGGGAGGGGGGGATCAGAACCCTGCTCAAGGTCTCAGAGCTACCAGGTGGCAGACTCAGGACTTGAACTAGGTCTGTCTGGCCCTAGAGACTGTTTTTCACCAGCCTGTGGTTAACCCCCCGGCATGCACACACACGCACAGTCACACACTCACATGCACACTCGCTCACATGCGCGCACACAGTCACACACATGCACACTCACTCACACGCACAGTCACACACACACACACACAGTCACAGGAAGGCCCTGCAGCCCTGTCACATCAAATCCCCACCACAGCCCTCGTTATTGCCCATTTTCTGGATGATGAAATTCAGGCTCAGGAATGAAGATCGCACAGCTCTGCTGCGGCACCACAGGGTCTGGGGTTCGGGCCACCATGTCTCCTCTCCACTGGCTGTCTCGGTCGCTAGTCCTAAATGACCCAGGAGCCTCGACAGGATGGGGCAGGAGGGCGGGAGGATGCGGCTTGTGCTCTCTTGGCCTGGGGGTCCTGCACTCTCCTCCCATCGGGCCACGTAGCCACCTCGCCCTCTGCCTGTCCCTCACAAGCAAAGCCTCCAGGCCAGTGTGGGCCTACAGCAGGGACACTGATCGTGGGGAGATGAGGCCGGAGGCTTAGTCCTGTGGTCTCTGGAGACCACCTGCGGGCTAGGGCGGCTGTGTGGTCCCCGGCTTCGGCTGCCCTGCCGGCTGGGCTCTAATCGGGGCTCAGCCACACCCACCGTGTGATGTCTTTTCTCCCGGACAAGGGCAGGGCTGGGCAGCTGGCCTGGGTGGCATGCTGGGTTCCTGAAGTCCCTGTTGGCTTCTCCATCTGTAAGTAAGGGACTGGACTGCGTGACCAGAGATGTCCCTTCCAGCTCTGACATTCTAGAACTAACACGTGTGTATTCTGTGCTACAGAGCACACTCACGTACCTTTCCTCACACTTGGCTCATCTTTGCACACCTCTCCCCCTCCCCACCCCCCCGCCACCCCAACGTGGGCCGGGCACACTGGATCCTCAAGGATGTTTCTAGAAGCGTGGACTGATGTCCAACTGCCTTTACTATGTCACTCAATCGTAAATCCCCTTCCTCCAGATAGGCCTGCAGGAGAGGGGCACGTGGTCCTCTGTCCCCAGCTCACTCCGCCTCTCTTCTTAGCATCCATGACACCTTCCTGAAGCTCTGTCCCCCTGGGAAGTACTACAAGGAGGCAACACTGACCACAGACCAGGTCAGCTCCCTGCCAGCCCTGAGGGTGAGTGCAGCATAGGGGAGGGGCTGGGCGTGCCACTGGGGTCCACGGAGGGGTGGAGGACCCTGGGGGAGGGGTGGGCATTGTGGCCCTGGGGGCGTCTGGTGGCAGGCTCTCCAGAGGGGCTGGTGGACCACCACGCAGGGCATGGTTTCCCAGCACTTCTCACATGCGTCTGGCCTCACTCTATCCTTACATCAGTCCCGGAGGCAGGACAGGTGTGACAACTGTCACCATTTCTCAGGTGAGGGACCGAAGTGCATGAAGACAATGCCACTTGCTCCAGGTCTCATTGGGGAAGGGGGTGAGTCTTGATGAGGCTCCAGGGCCTGTCTGTGATTCCCTCTTGAGCCTTATCTTAGGGCCCCCCTCCGTCAGCTTCCTGCTGGCCCTTTACTCGATCCCTCCCACCCAGAGGACCTGCACCGGCCAGCTCTCTCTGCTGTCCTTTACGCCGCAAGCTGGATAAGTGGGAAGGTCGGGATCCCCTGCAGAACAATTTGGGCCTTGGGGAAGCCAGGGTGTCATGCCAGTCCATCCGCCCATCCCCCTCCTCAGCCCTTTTCTGCTCAGGCGTCTTCAGTGAACTAGGGTTTTTCTAGAAGGACTGAGAACCTTCTCAGTTTCTTCCCTGAGAAGCCAGGAAAAGGACTTGGAGCCCAGTGACTGTTGTCCCAAGCTACCTCCTTCCATCTCCAGGTGTGACTACAAGAAAGAAGGACATGTGCATTTCTATCCTTGTCCCTCTCTTCCTCTCCCCCCAGTGGAGCCAATCCTCCCTGACCTGAGAGAGGTGGGCCAAATGTTCCTATCTTCTCCTGGATTTCCCCACTTTCCTGGGCCAAATCTCATAACCCTTATACCCAGTTTACATACACCCGCCCTGCCCTTGTCAGAGCAGAGTCCTTGTCCAAACCCACATCTCAGTCTCCCCACCTGTGAAATGGGTGGAATGGTGGGGGTGGCTGGGAGTTGTTTCCCTCTGCTCCCCAAGGCTCCCCAAGGTCCCCGAACTCTAAAGGCTGTGCTGACACAAGCTGTTAATGCTCCCCATTCCCAACTTTAAGTACCATCTTAAATTTTTGGTTCCTGATGTGAAAAGGCCCTGCCCTTCCCCCGAAGCACCTAGAAGAGCCCGAAGGTGCACCATAAAAGGGCTCCTTAATCACGTCTAAGATTTGTAATTAAAATGTGTCCAGCACTCAGAAGGACGTCAGGTTAACTAATCACGGTGGTGTCAGGCTTCCTGATGTTTCATTCTGATCTCAGAGGAATAATGGTTTGAATTTGTCATTGTGCAATGAGAGGCCATCCTCACTTCTGTCTGGAACAAGATGGGCCTGAGAGCTGTGGGCACCTCTTGGAAGAGGGCTAGGGGCTCGGGTGGGGCGGGTGGTGGGAGAGACCGTACAGGTGGAAGGAGCACGCATTCAGTGCGGGTTCTGCGGCCTCTCCGAAGTGACGGACCTTGTTCTGGGTAGAGAGAGAAAGAGCACAGAGCTAGGTACTTGAGATGGAGGCAGGAACAGAGAAGACAAAGGAATAGGAAAGGGTGCTGATTGGAAGGGGGACGGGGCAGCTGAGAGCTGGGGTCTCCGAGAGGAAAGGAACCCAGTACTCAAAAGGTGAGATAATTGGAGAATCTGCCTATGACAGACACAAAATGGGGAGCTTGTCCTCCTGGTACCCCCTGTTCTCATACACACCTTCACCCACACAGGCACACCTCCATCTCCCCACACCCCACACACGTGCTGCCTCAGTGGGGGCGGGGGGTGAGGTCGCTCAGAACTAGACTGTCCACGCAGGGCCGGGCTGAGGGGCAGCCTGAATGGGAAGCTTCTGCCCTCTGTTCTCCAGGTTGGGGACCGTGTCACTGGGCAGTCCCAGAGTATCCGAATGCGAAGCCTGGAAAGAGACCCGGAGGCCACCCAGCCTTATCACTGCCAAATGCTCTCTGCCCTGGTTTTACCCATTAGAGAACTGAAACCTGGAGAGGGAAGCACCTTGCTCAGGCTGGGTGACTGCAGAGCCTGGACCGGCTCTGACCCACTTCTAACCAGGGCCTCCACCTCTGATCAGGGCTTGGCTTGGTGCTGACGGTGTGCCTGGGGTGGCAAGGTGCCCTGGGGGCTCAAGGGGAGCACCTGGCAAAGACCCGCCCTGGAGGGCTGATGTGGAGAATGCTGGGGGACGCGTGGGCCAGCACCCTGCATAGCCCCAGAACAACCTGGTCCGGCCTGGGGTCTCTGTTCTGAGCTCCCAAGGAGCAACGCCTGGACCCAGAGGGCTGGGTCAGGGCCCAGCTCCATCACTCCACCTAGGACCTCTCCCTCTAAGCCTGAATCCCTGTCGGTAAGACATCGTGTTTGTCCTGTGCCATGTATCAGCATGTGCAGGGCTAAACCGTGGTCCTCTGCACCCGGGGAGGCGGGAGGGCAGTGGGCAGGGGTGCGGGCAGGGAGCACCAGCCTGGGCCACCTCTGCAGCCCTGGACCCCCAAGCTGGACAGTGGCTGGGAATGGAGACAGGGTCTTGGGACAAGCCTACTTTTAATATTACTTATTTCACCCTTCTAAGTGGCCTTTATTTTATTCTGTTGCGTGACTAGAAACCAGATCATTGTAGGAAAACACAGAAAAGCAAAAATACAATTAAAAACTGTCAGGAAGCCCACCTCAAGGGTCGATCATCATGATCAATTTGCCTTATTTCCCTCCTTAATTTTCTCTAAGCAGATACATAAGTGTTTATTAAGAGTTTCTTGGGATCACGTTGACTTTTTTGTATGTTGCTTCCTCCTCCCCCCACCCCCCTCCCCCACCCCGTTCCATTTTGGTTTCTTTGTTCCTTTTCTAACTGGTTCTGAATAGCCAGAACCATCTCATGAATTTAGGACACTAAGCCACTGCCACATCTAGAGAACGAGGGGACAGGACCTGTGGCCAGGAGCAGAAGGGCTGGGTTCGAACTCCCCTTGCTAGCCATACGATCTAAGGCAAGCCACGTCACAAGAGGAATGAATCATGAATCAGAGTGGAAGGAAGCAAATAGACACCAGGCAGAGAGGAAGGGGTGGGAGGGGAGCCGCAGGGCCTGTTTCCCTGCAGGTGTGAGGCCTAGTTCTAGGTGCTCCCAGGTGTGGCCCTGGGTCCAAGGATGCAAGTTTCTCAACATTACGAGGAAGAGAGCAGTGAGCACAAGCTCCCTATCACCGCTGGGCAGGAAACGGGCCGACAAGCATTTAGCTGGGATATTCTAGTGCACGCCTAGGTATGAACAAGAAACTGACCCCGTGTGTGGTGCCCTCTTCACTGCCTGAGCCAGTGGTTCTAGCCCTGCGACACGTTCTTACTCTTTTGTGTTGGTGACCACGGTACGTCTCAGACTTTGGACTTTTCATAGTCCAATATAATTTCCAAAATAAATTTTTTTTTATTTTTTTGAGGAAGAACTAGCTAGAGATGCCAACTTTCCTAATTTTGCCAAGTAAGGACATTTAAAAACGATGTGATCCACAATCACCACCATTTCATTTTTTAAAAATGTTCATTTTAGAGCAAAAAATACAAGAAGGAGCTAATCCCAGGCACAAGAACAGCTCTTTCCACATACATCTCTTCTTGTCATTTTTCTACTTTTGCCACCAGTCTATCAGGCACGTTGTCACGGGTCGTCCCTGGTCCTGAGACCAGCTTTGGAGGATTTAGATCTAGGACTAAATTTCCCTCCATGTCTTTCCAATCTTGGTCAGAGGGGGAAAATTGCTTCCCAAAATGATCGAGGAGAGGCTTGGTGGGGGATGGGGGCCTGAGCGTCCCTGTTGTGTCCTCTACCGGCCCAATGATGGGAGCTGCATGACTCACACTGCCCAGAACTCATCTCTGGAAAAAGCTGTGAGAATTGGGCCCCAGGGAGCTCCCGGTACGGCTACAAGTTGGCTCAGGGGGTTGAGTGGTCTGGGAAGAGAGTCCTGTTTTCTTAACTTGGATTCACTGGTGGAAAAATGGGTTGGTTAATATTGGGAAGGGTCTGTTGGTCAGCAGAGAGCAAGGAAGGAGAATGGCCTGGGCGGCCGAGGACAGTGGGAAAAACCAGATGACAGGGACACAGTGGTCCCTTCTCACTCAGAAATTTCTGTTTTTTCTTTGCGGCTTTCTTTGGTGTATTTAAAAACAATGTTTCTGTTCTTGTAAATAATGATCTTGCTTTCTGTAAACTTGGATGAGAAGTGGCGCAGTGTGACCTGGGTTTCTGGTTTCCAGGCCCAGGACGGCGGGTGGTAGGATCTGGGCAGATCCCAAGGTCTCAGCCTTTGGGATGGAGGCTCGAACAGCGCTGCTCTGGCCTCTCCCCAGTTCCCACTCCAGGGTTCCTGAGGGCAGGTGGTCTGTGCCCAGTCTGGCCTCCACTACCTTTCCCCCCAGCATCAACTCCGCAAGCACAGAGAGGTTTAGGAAACTGCCTGAGGTGTCAGGAGGCTCTGTGGGTGTGGTTCCAAGGTTTCAGCTCCACATCCTTGGTTTCTAGCCGTCCCCAGGTTTTCTGAACCTTTCTGATGCCTGCTGATAGGCTGGGCCTGGATCCTTAGACTAGCTGGCAAAGAACCCCTTCCCAAGGCTTTCCGCAAATCAGGAGTCCTCATGCTTATTCAGGCTTTCAAGAAATGACCAGCGTAGCAGAGGCAGGGAGGGGAACGTGGTTTTTTTTTTAATTTAAGATTTTTTCCTTTTTTTTTTAGTTTTTGAATCAAAATTATTTATGCATGCCAAGAGTCAAGTTGCCCTCTGGGGATCACCCTCAATTCCCTTCTCTGGAAAGAAACCATTTGAGGCTCTTAGCTGGTTCTTGGTTCTTGCCTTCATATCTCTGGAGAGTACTCTTTATGGCCCCTTCTTAATATCTCAACCTTTGACCTCCCCCTAGAGAAGAGGTTCAGCTCTTCCTTCCCCTACATGACTCCCCACATGACTCCCATCCCACAAGTCACTCCCATCCCCCAC